ATGGACGTGGCCTCAAGAAGGCCGGCCGTCTCTGAACGCCAGTGAGTCGTGTCTAGCAACAGTGTGCCGTTCATGCAGGCCTGGAGCCCGCTTAGGGCCGTCCAACCGGGAGCAGAAAAACGAGTTCTGTGAGCCTCAAAGTCCCTACTAAGCAGCTAGGTGCCCCGGTGTTTGGGTTTCAGGTTTGTCTTTTGTTCTCAGAATCTGTTTTCATATGAGGCAAGAGCGCAAACAAAAATAAAAAGGAGTTCTTATGGGAATACTTACGACAAGTCTGTTTCTGTCCGGGGTTTACATCAGCGCTTTGTTTATTTTTTAAAAATGTGAGTGACTCATAATCTTTAAAAGAAGAGAGGAGGTTACTGTTTAAAAACTGGAGATTAATCTTTTAGAAAAGGGCTCAGCAGAGTATCAGGCAGCTGACAGAGTCCCGGTAGTCGGGACGGGTACGATTCCCACGACAGTCCTTCTGGAAGTGAGCAGGGGGGAACGCCGGTGGTTAAGAGCTCACGGAGATTTAAAAAAGAAAAACCCTACACGGGATCTCAAGTGACAGAAGAGTTTAACTTCTGGCCAGACCCTCAAAGCGATTATCTTTGCTGAAATCATCACATGACGGAAACTCGCCATGTAGAAAATATCGGAGTTGCTAACTTTTCCAAACATAGCAACTTCTTTTTAAATAGAAAATAGACACAATAAGAAAAATAGGAAAAGAAACCCTCCCAGTCCAATCCCTTCCTGTTCCATGCCCCTGGGGGAGGGGGGGGATTATCTTTTAAAACCTTAACTATGATCAGAAACACGAAGTGCATATGCTTTCATTTCTAATTGATGATTATATTAAGATTTAATAGTTTACAATTAAGATGAATATTTCAAGATGACAGCAAAACCCACGCCAGTCCAGATTTGCTCTTCTAAGTCTGTAATTTTTTTTTTCTTTCTCTCTTTTTTTTTGGGGGGGGGGAGGGAGAGGGAGAGAGTCCTCTGTTTTCAGAGAGACCTCAATTTAAAAGGGCCGGTGTGGTTTGAACACAGAGCCTGTTCTGAATCCTTCCCCATTCCCCATCTTCTCTCTCCCTCGTGACCTTCCTCCCTGAAGATGATTTCTCCTCAAGACAAGCATGTGATGATCAAACAAAAGTTTAAAAGTTAACAAACTTCTATAGCCGTTGACGAGGTTGACATTTCATTAACTTGTTGGTTCAGCCTTCAAATGGTTTCGCCAGGCGAAGCCCCCTCTGTTTGGAGTTTACAGCTTTTTGTTCTTCCTTCCCTCACGGACCACAGTCATGTTTAATTTGGAATCTGGGCTCCTTTGGCAAATTAGCAATTAGAACAATTTTGTGGGAATATGTATATGTGTCATTAGTTTTCCTGCAAATTAATAGCAAGGCCAGAGGTCAGGCAGAAATTTTCCACTTGACTGCCGTTCCTCTGTGGAGACTTGGCACTTGGTTGTGGAATGGCCACAGCTGCTCTCAGCCACCCTCTTCCTGTAGGAACCGTCTTTTAATTAGTTTACCTCACAGCCATCATTACAAATACTACTGCCTCCCCTCCTCGAAGTAAAATTACTGTTTCTACAAAATATTCCAGTGACATCTTGCACCACTGCACATTGATGGTGGGGTCACTCGAATGCAGCATTTAATCATTAGATCACCTCCATCCGCGTCTCCTAATTAGAACCCTTACAATACATTTTTATCTGGTAATTAGCTGAGATTGGCTGCTTCCTCTGTGGCTTATTAGAGACAGCCCAGCAGTGGGTGTGAATCACGGTGTCATTTGTCAAGCCTGGTAAGCCCCTTCTCTGCTCTCTTCTGGCTTCGTGTTTATTTCCACTTGCTACCTGTGTTCAAAAGCCTCCAGAAAATTCTACCGTGTATTTCTCTGCGGGTCGTGCTAACCTGGAAGGATTTTATTTTTCACTGTTGCTTTTTCGGTACAGACAGCCCAGGTGTTAGGACCCTGGGTAAAAGCTGCAGATGTCCCATTCTTCTCACATTTTATGACACAGTACCACGTGACATGTCCGTTCTCCTGTGCGAGCACCACAAGATGGATTTGTACGTGGCTGAATGTTTACACGAGTTTTGATTTTTTTGGAGCCCAGCAGCACACTTGATGCCCTCCCTCACAAAATGGGAAAGCAGCCGGCATACTGCTTGAGGCCGTTGTATTTATAATTTTCATTAAGTGTTGAAGAAAGTTACGGTGTGTAGGTGCTGTCCTTAAACGGAAAAGAAAAGCCAAAAAGTGGAGTTAGTCCTCAGAATTGCTTTATGGTTATTACACACACTGCCCTTGGACCAGGGTCTGTGTTCGATGGGAAGCTTGACAAGGGGCAGCAAATGAATGTTCTGCCCTTGTTTGTGTCATTTCAGTTTCAGATGCCTTATATTTTTTCAGCAATATTTATTGAATATGATTTATAAGCAGGGACTAAAGCTATCCACAGACTCCTTTCCTTTCCAAAAATGAGCATATAGAGGAATGAAACTAGCCGGTGTTTATTTTTCCCGTTAACTGGGCATGAGAAGCTTATACAAGAGAGCCTGGAATCACGCGCCCGCGCGCGTGTGTATGTGTGTGTGTGTGTGTGTGTGACTGTTTGTGAATAGGGGCAAGTTATTTCCTCGGTCGTGAGCCTCAGTCGGCTCATCTGTACACGGTGAGCAGCGACACCTCACTGATCAGTGACAGTAGGAGAACCAAGTGTAATCACACAGTGGCAGGTGGCTCGCAACATGGTTTATACAAATGGTCTCCAGGACTTTCCAGTGTTTGGATATTCTTAGGCCTAGCAGCACCCGAATTTGAAAAGCTGTTGTGTTTATGAGCAGTAGCCTTCCCGCAACTAATTTCCTTGACCCGTCGCGTGGGCTGATGATCGTACAGACAGTTCCTGCACTTGGTCAGTGATGAAGGCCCAAAGCGCCCAGGAGGTCGGCCCCAGCCCTCCCCCATGGCTTCTCAGTTCTGCTCCATCCCAAGGCTGCCTCTCTCAACTGAAAGCACTTAGTCCGCAAATACGCATCATGAAGGCAGGTTTCCAGCACGAATAGAAAAGAAAGCGGCTCACAGCATTGGCCCAGTTTGCTGGGGTTTGTGGGGGCGGCGGCTGTGAGAGCAGGGTCCTCTGCACAGCTTGCCCTTCTCCAGGGTGGGGGGTGGGGGCTGGGGGGGGGGAGGGTCTGGCATTAGCTGAGTCAGCATTTCACTGGTAGGTGCGGGGAGATTATAAAGAGAAGCACAACTACAGGCTTGTTCCCCCGACATTCCCTTTCCAGCAACATAGTTACATTTTTTCCATGCATATTTACCTAACGATACTTGCTCGCTCTGCTCTTCAGATTTCAGGATTTTATTTTGTTTGCTTGTTTGTTTTCACATATGAGAGGCATTCTCATGGCCTTTTTCATTACCAGAGCACGAGTAGGGTTGTATCATCTCAACAAACCAGACCTTTTAATCTGTTCTTTATGATCCCGGAGGAATCTCATTTTTAACACCTCCCACAAATAACGTCTTGTCCGTAAGGCTACTGCAATAGTGAAATATGTAACTATGTTAAATGATTTGAAATCTGGTTTGAGAAAATGTTACAAGTAAGCCTCCTTGGCATAAGTTTCTTGGATTTGGGGCCGCCTGGAAGTATCTGAGATGGCAATTGTGTGTAAAAATAATGTGTTGAAAATGGCCAGGTTCTGTAGTATAGCCAGACTTAGTATTTCTGGAAGAAGAAACTTGGGGTAAGGGGGACAAGCCCACTTTTTTTTTTTTTAATTATTACTAATAAGACAAGCACTTCCAAGGTGAAGGCTTATCGAAGGAAGGAAACAGTACTCCTTCATCTTCCTTTGTACGACTTCAAATAAATAATGCGTGTTTCCTCACTTGATGCTATAGATTCCATTGTATTACTGAGCATTTGAAACTGAAAGAAAAAAATTTTTTACAGTTCCCGATGTTTCATATGTCATTTTTAAAAATAGATTCCAGTCCTCTATTGGATAGAGTTTAATGAAGACTACACATAAAGCTTTCAAAGATTAGTCTTTGCCAACTGATAGAACTAAATGATGTCTTACTGGATCAATGCCACTCTTTTTTTCTTTTTCTTTTTTTTTTTTTAAGATTTATTTATTTATTTGAGAGAGAGTGAGCGGGGGTGGAGGACAGAGGGAGAGAGAATCTCTAGTGGACTCCAAGCTGAGCACAGACCCCAACGCGGGGCTCGATCCCGTGATCGTGAGAACATGACCTGAGCCGAAATCAAGAGTTGGACCATCAACCAACTGAGCCACTCAGGTGCCCCAGTGGCAGTCTTTTTAAATAGGAGCCATAGGCCAAACATCCTTGTGGCGTTTCCAATCGCTGCAGTTTCCTCGCGGAGTTAAGTAGCTTGTCCCTGTGCTGGCCAGAGTGGTAGCCACTGGCTACGTGTAGCTGTTTAAACAAAAGTTTAATTTTGATAAAAAGTAAAAACAGCTCTGCACTGGTGCTAGCACGTTGCAGAAAGTGCTGCTGGAGCGCTCAGGTCTAGACCAGTGTATCCCAACTGGTAGCTTCTAGAATGTTGATGTTCCCTGGTGCTATGAGGACTCCACCCCCTCCGGGAGATTTGCCAAGCACAGTAGGCTGCTCAAGAGGGTTCAAAGTCATGACTCAAGGAATGTTTTGACCCAGAACTTGTCAAACTTCACTGGGCTAGGTCACCCCTTTGTGCATACACTCATTTTTCACAGTCTTTGGAAAACACCTGTGTCACCAACGGGTCAGGAGAACATGGCCAGAGAGATTTTTAAACTAACCAACTATGCGAACTGTTTCTATGTGGGAACTCGCCTCCTGTTTCAGGTGATTAGAAGCATCTATTTAGAGAAGTAAAGCTAGCCGGGCATCCCCTGCCGTGCTCCTGCTGGATTTCAGATGCCTGCTTGCTCCCTGCTTTTCTGAAGCTCTTCTAAGAACTCTTCTCTTCCTCACAGCTGAATCTGGTATCAAGTGTCACACTCTCCAAGTCTGCATCTGAGGCTTCTCCACAGAGCTTACCTCATACTCCGACGACCCCAACCGCCCCCATCACTCCTGTCACCCAAGGCCCCTCCGTCATCACCACCACCAGCATGCATACGGTGGGACCCATCCGCCGGCGGTACTCGGACAAATACAACGTGCCCATTTCTTCAGGTAGCTACTTCCTGTTTGCCTCATGTAGAACTGTAATATGCAATTCTTGTAGACCACCCTCTTTTTAAAAAGTGATAATTAATAGGACAATGATTCTTATTTTAGCAGATATTGCGCAGAACCAAGAATTTTATAAGAACGCAGAAGTTAGACCACCATTTACATATGCATCTTTAATTAGGCAGGTGAGTAAATAACGCAGTATGGGGAATTCCATCAAATGTATACATGTACATGGATATAGTATATTGATGAAGTAGATTTAGAACCGTTTAGTATGCAAGCATGCTAAAACCTTTGCTATAAGGTTTTTTAAAACTGCAATATATAACATAATTGCTTTTGATTAAGTATTACAATACGATGTGATTATTAGGAAATTCATTTCACACAACAGTGAAAATGAGCCTGTTTAAAGATGGCAAGTCAATTATCACAAGCTACAGTAATCTCTGATCCCTAGAATTAATCTGAGCTCTAAATAATTACTGAGCTTTAATCAGCTAGTGAAATGTTTTGCATTTCTCTTTGATTCTGCTTTATGAATGACTAATAAATTAATATTTCTGTACGGAAACAGAAATAAAAACTCAAAACAATTAGATAATTCCGTTTTGAATTTTGCTATTGAACTGTTAAATACAACCATTAATCTTAGATCATTTCGTGAAACCTTTCTTGGGCTTTAGCTCTGAATCATGGTTATTTTATATTTTCAAGAAACTGTATAATGACGATTCTGCTGATTTGGTCATAAATTATCTTCTTTTTATTACTTTTGCTTCACAGGCCATTCTCGAATCTCCAGAAAAGCAGCTAACACTAAATGAAATCTATAACTGGTTCACACGAATGTTTGCTTACTTTCGACGCAATGCTGCCACGTGGAAGGTAAGCTTCCTCCCGGGCCTGTTTAGGCTCAGGTCTTGCCATTTATAAAAGAGTTTGTTGTTGATAAAATGCAGGTGTTGTAAGTTACAGGTGTACTATTTCGATACACTCAAAGAGTCAAGTTTACGGGAGTATTTTATTGAGAAAAGAGTACTGTTGGGGTTAGAAGGCTGGGATAGAAGACTGCCATTACACTGGCATCAGATTTTGGCTGGACCAGCCAGTAAAGTCATTTCTGTCTGGTTGGAATATGTAGGGAAAAGGAACGGATGACACTGTCACCCCGATGCTGAGGTTGTCCTCTTAGTTACACAAATCTCATGGTGGTCCGTCATTAGCCACCACCAGTATTTGCTGAGATGCACAGCTAACATTTTCTTAACCAGGAGAAATGATCAGACAAACTTGACATAACCTTCACTGGTTGGATTTTAAAAAAGAAAAAAAAAAATGCTCCTTACCATAATTAGTAAAGAAAGCAGTGTGGTCTCATGACTAGCTCTGTATATAGAAATTATCACAGGAGAGCACGATGTATTATTAAGTTTTTGGTTTTAGTTTTGGTTTTTTTTTTTTTTTTTTTTTGAGGGGGGTTGCTTTTGTTTTTTTTTTATATCACACTATCCGCCAGAGAATCATAGAGAATCTGGAAAAGGAAATGATCCAACTTCACTGTAACGCCGTTTGCTATAAAATGGACCAAATCCCTCAGCTCCGCATGGGATGCCCTAACAAGGCTTGAGGGTTACGTGACCTCCCTCTTTTCCAGTTCAGCAATGGGTTCATAGATTCCTTTAGTATTTCTTCCATTGTATTAAATGAAGCCCTCACAAATTTTTGGATTTTACTGCTTTTAATTTCTTGGTTTAAATATTATTGCTATAGAAGAGGGCAGGTTCAATCTGGTTTTTTGGTTTTTTGTGTGTGTGTTTTTTTGGTTTTTTTTTTTTGCCTTTTTACTACCTAGAATTCTTAAAATCCCCAAATTCCACAACATGTAAAATGCAAATATCTTAGGGTATTTTTACATGTCATTATTATAAATATGATAGGGATTTATTATATGATGCAATGGAAATTTTCTTTGCTACTTTTTAAATTTTAGATAAGAGAAAAACAAAAACAGAAAACACATTGTCTCTTTTATGTTCTTACAAAATTAGCATTTTAAAAGAAAATGAATATAACCATAGAATTAATTTATCAACCTCACACAGCCATGAATATCTTTTATGGCTCAAAGTATCCTTTTTTATTTCCATTAAGACACATGGGTGCTGAAGGGAACCTATGTTCAAAACCTTACCCGCTTTTCCTCAGCCTCCCTTAGGAGATAAAATGCAAAGTATCTTTAGCTATGAATGCTTTTCAAAATGTAGGAAGTATAAGCATGAAGCAGACATTTTCTTCAAATTGCCTTTTATAAATAGCAAGTGATCAAATTTAAAAATAATTACTGGCTGTGAATATGATATTTAAGCTCAGATCTACAGCTTTAACTTTTTCATTTTTGCAAACTGCAGGAAAAAGTGCCATCAATATAAACAATCCTAGATCAAGTACCAAATGACTCAAATACGTATAATTTTCTTCCTGTGTCCTTATTGGTATTGTCATCCTAAACAGAAGGTGAAGTGCCCAGTTTAAGTTAGGGCTGAAAAGGGCTTACTCACGTTTTTGGGCAACTCTTGTTTTCTGGGTGCTTTTGCTTAGATGTACAGTCTTGGAAAATAAAACTTCAGTTTGACTTTCTATCTTTACTCACATGGCTCTGTTCTTCAGACAGATCTATAGCAGTCCTTCTGGCAGACATGGTTTCCGTAGATCTGTAGTTCTAAATGTTTCGACGATGCTTATTCTCAAATATTAGAGAGTGATAGGGTGGAGGGGAAATGTTGATATCTTTCCCCGTTATGTCTTCCATACATATACATGATCTTTGTCTGTATTTTTTTAAAAGACAATTTGGACTTACTTGTTTTAACCTCTTTAGTATTGTCCTAGGAGGTAAGAGGAGACCGTTTGCATCCCTATATATATAGTCTGTGTCGGTACCGCATGAGATAGAAAATGCTTATTCAAAGAGCAGACTACCACCTTACACGTGAAGAAATTTGTCCTACCAAGTATAAATACAACACGGCAAATGTTTTCAAAGATTTTTTTCTTTTCTTTTCATGCAAACCCGTCCAACCTGTTTGAATCAGGGGTGTCCTTTCACGGTCACCTGGACGTTTGCAGCCTACCCCAGTTATGCTGACATTGCTCAAAAACTCTGAGAATTTGTCCTGTGGATTCTCCTTGCGAGTGGTTGATAACTTGGCTATGTCATAAAACGTGCCTCGTTATCTTCTAAATATCCCATATCGAAAAAGAAAAACCAGCACTATCTCGTCTGACTCCTCCATCAGAGTCACCAGTGGTGATTACGTAAAAGTGGAAACAGGGCTCAGGATCTTGAGAACGGAAATACCTGCGGGCAGCCCAAGGGGGTGCCGTGCGGCACGTTTGAGCGATGGCAGCATCATTGGAATGGAGTGGAGTGGAGGATATGCTACACGGCATGGGAGATGGGATGTCTGCATCCACTCCTCATGCCCCAGCAGTCACCTGCTTATGTCCTGTAAGAAGAAAGTCTTGAGTCAATGGCATGGGTCTTTTTGTAATGTGCTCATGTCTAATTTGGAGTCTAGATCAGTTAAGTTCAACCAAGGAGGCTAAAGAGACGAGGCCTTGTTTGTTCCGGGCCCCAGCATGGGTTGTGGATTTTCCTGAAAATCAAAGCAAAGAGGAGATGTTAAAAGCTTTTCTTTACCCACCTTCGGTGGGCTGTGGGTATCAAGCGTCTCCATTTAAGAATGATCTTGGAAGTGACCTTTAACCATAGAGACATGGGGACCAGGGACAGAAACATGTCTTTAGGAACCGTGAGCTGCAGGACTATCCTCTTTTTGCCATTAAGAGTTCAACTCAAGAGTTTCTTTGGCATTTTTTGTTAGTTAAGGTAATTGCCCATAGTAAGGGCCAAGGTTCTATACATTCGGGAAGGTAAGCTGCAGGAGGTGATGCTTTCAATGGTAAAATCCATTTAGATAAACCTGACAAAACCTGTAGAAGGTGTTAAAGCCAAAACTTTTGAAAAAAGAATAAGAGCAAAATGTGTTTAACAATATTATCATCTTGCATGATTTTTTAAAAATACCCTTTTCTATGGGAGATAAGTGGGCTTAAAGGGGACAGTTTTACACTCTGCATGTTTATTTTGAAGTCATATTAACACGATTTTCAGATTTTTACTGTGAACCCTATTTGGGGCTTCTATTAACCATTTCTTCTAGTTAGCTCCTACCAGAGAGTAGATGAAAATGCCAGAGTATAACTAATTGATACTTTTGTGTTGTTGTTTTTTTTTAATTTTTACATTTGGAAAAGGCATCCTTAACCTCAAGAAGGTCATCCACGGGGGTGGTTAGCTACAGCTCTTGGGAATGGTTTGACAAATGTGGACTGTGAGGCTGAATGTACTGCTGTTTTTGGAGTCTTTTCTTATAGAAAATGTAAATGTTCTCTCTTTTATACTTGCTGCAGAATGCAGTGCGTCATAATCTTAGTCTTCACAAGTGTTTTGTGCGAGTAGAAAACGTTAAAGGGGCAGTATGGACAGTGGATGAAGTAGAATTCCAAAAACGAAGGCCACAAAAGATCAGTGGGTACGTCCACCATGTTTGAACTTCTTAGCCTAGCTTGGATTGTGCTAACAAGTGTCAAGTAGAGGCTTTTGGCTGCTAGACGGTGTTAGACCGACGAACCGGTTTCACGTTGTCTCAGTTAAGGGAAGCAAAAAAGCATTTCATCCCTCCTGTTTTGTATACCCACCAGTCCCCTGCCCTGCTTGCCGGTCTTTGTTGCATCCCACGCTAGTAGCTTTTAGGTGGCAATGCATATTAACCCTCACAAACCATTTGCTTATGCTTATTGCATTTTATTTTCTTTTTCCTGTTCCCTGTATTGGATGTCTGTTCTGCCCCCCCAACCCCGTCTCCTTTTGTTGCCACTCCATCTCCTTTGCTGCTGCTCCTATCCCAGGGTGCCATTCGCACCAACCTCTCACTGCATAAGTGCTTTATCAGAGTAGAGGATGAGTTTGGGTCCTTTTGGACAGTTGATGATGAAGAGTTTAAACGTGGCCGCCATATTCAACGAGGCCGTCCTCGCAAATACTGCCCCGATGAAAACTTTGACGAGCTTGTCACACAGTAAGAGCCTTTACTTGCTTTTGTTTTGTTTTTTCTGCTGTTGCTTTGGCTTTGCATGGTTGACTCATCCCATGTAGTTTTGCATTTCACCAAGTAGCAGTGCCACGGCTTTCTGCAATGGAGCTAAATTGTGTGATTCGTACATGTACTTCTCTTGTTTCTCTTTGGAACGCCAGTGCCTTGAATAATGCTTTTTTGACGTCTTTAATGCACATATTGGTTGTATTTTGATTCAGCAGCTTACGGGGACCCTTTAAGAGTAAATACCTTGGCTTAGAAGTCATTCCTCCAAGTAAAAAGGCAGCTTTTAATGGAGACTTAACATGTGTATTTAACGGGGTACATGTCTTGGTATTTGCCCACTCAGTTATAATAATAGCATAAGTGAGGGGAAATGAATGACGAGAGAAATCCATAACAGCACACAGACTTCCTTTGAGAGCCAGTCAGGGATCAATCTGGGTGACTTCCTCCTGGAAGCCTCTCCATCCCCCCACTTTTTCCGAATGCTGTCTTGTCTTCCTTGCATTAGCTCATGGACACAACATCCAGTATTCTTACAACGTCCCAGATTTGGCTGTGCAAGAAAGATCTCAGCCCAACCTCCCCACCTTACTTGGGAACTACCCTTCGCTGTCACTCCCTTCTCCCCATCTCCTTTTAGCACTAAATGTGCCTCGGTGGGGTGGGGGAGGGGTCTTCTTTAAGCGCCTCCTGCCGTTACCTCCCACGGTGATTCTGGAGTTAATATCATGGAGACAATTCTCTAGCTAACTCCCAGGAATCCCTGTTACCAGCTCACCCCTAGCCACCCCCCCACCCCCACCAGAGATTCTGCCTTCCTATTGGACTCATGGCAGTTACTAAAAATTTGCAGAGAGGTCAAGATTTTATGAAGGGGGGAAAAAAAAAATGCAGCAGTGGAGGGAGTGCCCAGGGCTGGTCTAACTGAAGCCCGGATTTTACACCCAGTTTCCTTGAAGAGCAAAGTCTTACCCCAGGGGTGTTCAGACAGACCAGCCCCATAAAGCCAGGGGCTGTGCAGAAAACCTAAATTTCCTTTGGTTTTGTTAACGGGGGTGGGGGGGGTGGATTTCTGATTGGGAATGGATACCAGCAAGCTTTAAGATAAAACTTAGCTCGGAACTCCGGGGCTGATGGCGTTTAACTTTGAGTTTTTATCTTTCTCTTACGCAGTAACCCTTCCCTTATTAAAAACATGCAGACCAGCCACGCCTATTGCACGCCCCTCAATGCAGCTTTACAGGTAAGATTAATGGTCGTCCCGAACATGCAGCGGAGGCACATGTCTCCCCCACTCATTTCAAAATATATTAGCCTCGCTCTAATTAGATATTAAATTTTAATTCCGTTAAACTTTTTTCTTAAGTGCACAAAGCATCGTACTCCCTGGAGGCAAACACATCGGGCTGCTTCAGCATTAGCGGGATGCTTAGCATTTTGAATATTGTGGCAAAAAAATTAAAAGTTCACTTATTAATATTTATCAGCAGTATCATAATTTCCATCCTCTTATTTCAGAATTTCACTTGAGGCAAAAATACCACAAGTGTAATTACTCTAGCACAGCTATTAATGTGCTGGATGATAGGCCACTGTATCACATGACCTTCTATTGTTCACGGGTTTAAAGAGAAAGCAGGGCTTTTTACTTCTTCTAAAGTCTGTTTTAGCATCTTCAGTCCGGTGCTTTGGGGGTGGTGGGAGCTAGGAGAGATCCAGTTTTGGTTCACTTGGTAAAAGTAAACTGTTTTTGTTTAAACCAGAGAGGTGTTGAAGAACACTCTTTAGGTTTCCAGCAGATTGCTCAAGATTGCATAAGAAGCGTACAGAATGTTTGTTTCCCACTGACGAACCAAGCACTCATTACATAACCAGCATTACAAGGGGATGAAGACACTGGTTCCGAGCAGGAGGGAGTTTGCCACCCAGATGCGAGTTCCCCAGGCAGCCGAGCCTTTTAGTCGTCCCATCTCTCAGTTGATCCAGTTTGCATTTGCCCCTGCCTAGAATGATCTAGAAGACAGGCCAAGGGAATTTTGCTACCTTGAAAAAGACATACTCTGTACATAGATGGGGCGTATATACTCCAAGGCCATCACGGACCTTCACAGCAGGAGTTCTTGCTGGGGGCTGCATCGCCCATACTTAGTCCAACGCCTTGTGCCCCTGCAAAGGGCACTAACACGCAAACAGAAATATTTACACAGAAACAAGGTCGTCTTAAAAAGGCTCCTGAAGGGGTCAGGGAAGAGAACGAAAAATAGTTCAGAGGCTTGACATTATGGGAACAGAGTGTGTGAAGAGGCGGGAGATCAGGACGGGCGCGTGGTTCTCACTACTCCTAGAACAAATATTTATCAAGCACCTGCCCTGCACCCTGCACAGTTTCCCAGCTCCGCGCAGCCTCACGGCTCCCAACAATAGATGATACACCTTTAACACCGTTCCCGTGCTGAGGCATACGCACGGAACTTAGCTTTTCAGTAATTATATTTATTTATTTTTAGCTGGTACCAACTTTAATAGGAGGAACTACTTTCTGAGTTTCTGTTAATTACTTGTAGTTTACACAGTAACTTTAGAAAAGCAAATGAGAGCACGCTTAGATGCCGCCACTGTAAATACCATTCATTAGTAACTTATTTTCCCTGGAGTCTTGTGAAGTGTGAATTTAAAGCTGCTCTATCTGGAAGAGTATTAAGATTACAAGCACATTTTACATTCATGAGGCGGAAAGGCAAGAAAAAAAGCAGTGATCCTCTGGATTCTCTTAACTGTGTGACTAATTTAAATTAGTATGCCTTATCATGACAAAACTGTTCGTGCTTCTTCTCGAAAACATTTGTTTCTGGCATCCTCCCTCCCATTTCTCATTTTCAGGGGGAGCCCAAAACGATCCCATAGCTTTCCAAGAACACTTTATGTGCGTAATGAGGTGAGGTGAATAAACCGATAGAAATTCATGACGGGAGACATGGATCTTCTTCCTCCGGTCGAGGAGTTTGGATCCACGGGCAGTAGACAGTCTCATGTAACTTTCTGCTGTGCAAATTAAATCAGGATTCTACCAGCAGGCTTTCCTTCCCATTATTGCCCATTTCCATTTCTCAAGACAAGTAAAAATAATAGTGGAACAACATCTTAAAAAGATTACTAGAGCAACATAATGCATGATATACAATATATAAAATAGGACAGCAGAATCCACTACAGAAATAAAACATTGGACGTGAGACAGATTGCATTATGCTCTGAAAAAGTGAAGTAACTAAGGGTAACCATAAAGCTTCTTATTTATAGACTGCCTTTCCCCCGAGGATCTTAGCATGGTTCATGTTCCATTATGGAACTTACGGACTTCTGCACCATTACTGAGGCACCTCAGTTTTAGGTTTCGGTTTTTGTTTTTTTGTTTTTTTTTGTTGTTGTTGTGCAAAAAAAAAAAAAAAAAAAAAAAAGTGCCAGTTTGAGAGGAAACCACACACTGTACACAGGACCATTTATATAATTAAGTCCGTTATAAACATCATACCCCACCTGCTCCTTTGTAGACATCAACTACACAAAAGAACGACTTTGTTAACGTTTCTAGCATTGGGTGGATTGCTTTGATCCCTCACTCAACAAAGAACGTGCAGGAGGCTCTCTGGCCTAGCAGACACTGTCCTTCCACTTGGTCATTTTCTTAAAGGGACAAAGCTGGTTCTCTCCATTGATATATTTCTGATCTCACCACTGAGGGATCAGTAGAAGTGCTTGCCTTTTGGATGCCTTTCACCACTGTGGCTGTTGGGCCTCAGCCCATGTTTTAATGACCTTCACCTAGAACACTTGGAGAGCCAAGGAGAACACGTCATCTTAAGAAGGCTGCTCTATCTGTAAGGGTGACCATGTTATACCAAAGAGTGCCTTCTTAGAAACACTTCAGTTTTGTCGTTACCCCTCCATTTTTGACTAAAGAAGCTGCTAAAAAAAATTACCGTGCTGTAGAGATGGCCCCATTTAGGCCACGTTCTGACTGTGTCATGGTGAAATGTTGAGTGTTAGAGCAGAACTTTCATGACTGGGAGAGGTATGACCACTGAGTTGTCTCAAATGAAGGCTGTTTAAGATGCTTATCCAGCTGCAGTTTGGAGGGGGGGGATTAAAAAATAATCGGACAACCCTTCTTGCTTTTTGCTCTGCCAAGAAGAAGGAAAATGCTTTATTGCAATTATAAGAGATCTGTTGAAAAAAGTACTTGATGCAAATTATTTAACAAACTGTAGGAGAGCGAGGGAATGTTCAGATTTGCTGTTCGTCAAAATGAGTTCACCACATTTGGAAATAAAAACAGGATTTTTTTTTTTTTCCCACTTTTTAAAAAGCCGGCAGTTATGTAAATCCAGAAGTGGAGGGAAGGGAAAGCTGTGGACTTGCATGGAGCCTGACTTTGAAATAGTCCATTGGCCAATGGTGTGTTAAGTGAAGACCCATCACGGGGGCTTGTATCTAAGAAGGCATCCCTGGCTTTGGAATCTGTACAGTGAGTGAGGCTGCAGCTCTCACAATGGGCACGTTCCCTGCAGCCCAGCTCTGCACCCGTTCTGTCTTCACTGTTGGCTCTTCCTCTCTAGAGCCAGGATTTCTAGAATACTTTGGACTCTTGTATGACTGGCCAATTGAAGTCACCATGCCAGATTGTCTTGTGACTGTACTTTCTCCTCATTAGGATGGAAAACCAGGCATACTGTAGTCTGCAGGAGGACAGTTTTGATAAATCTTGATCTAACTACACTGCCAGTTTTTAAAAGTCTGTCCTCTTTAACATGAAAAGTTTCTGGGTTATAATCACTACCCAAATGAAACTAGTTCAAGGTTGTATTTAACGACCGTCTGCATTCGAGACTGGGTGGTCATTTTATTCAAACCCAGGAGGAGGGGAAGCGAACAGTATCCCACCACCGACTTCAGGATTTCCTATTTTTTCCGTTTCCATACTTTGGGGCTGACAGTCATATAGAGTGACAGTTATTTTTTTCCATCAGTCCTAAAATTCCAGGTTGACCGGTCTGAGCCTGAAAGATTGAGATAACTGTGGGGTAACACCACACAGACTCCACTAAACAGATTCAGAAATCATTAAAACCGAAATGAAGGAGAGAGAGAAAAATGGACTCCAATTCTTTAATCTCTTCCTTTTCTATAGGATATAAGAGGTAAATGTTTATGGAAGTTCTCATAAGTTTGAGCTCTGAGGCCAGAATAATTGGATCAAATCTTTAATATCCAATACTGGAGTCATCAAAGTGGATAAAGAAATGAAAATGCCATTATATTTCCCTGTGATCTGGAAATATTCAGTCCATCTTGAAAGAAGGCATCAGACAGAAAGCTCATTTTCGATAGCCCTGTCTAAACCACGTGACTCTACCCAGCAGAGCTAAATTGAGTCCTCCCTCCCCACCACCCCTTTGGTCCCAGCTAGCTCTTGGAAACTGAGCGTGGGACATGGGTCACAAGTCTGCCTTTGAAAGCGAACTCCTCTCCCTGTTAGCAACTTCTATTGGCCAGCCCTACTATGAACCTAAACGGAAGATCGTTGACTACACCTGTAATGAATGGCTTCCCTGCGTATGCTTACTCTGTGTCCTCATCTGTTTTCTCTTGGTTGCTAGCAGGCTTCGATGGCTGAGAATAGTATACCTCTATACACTACCGCTTCCATGGGAAATCCCACTCTGGGCAACTTAGCCAGCGCAATACGGGAAGAGCTGAACGGGGCAATGGAACATACCAACAGCAACGAGAGCGACAGCAGTCCAGGCAGATCCCCTCTGCAAGCCGTGTGAGTACTGTCCACCCAGAAGGTCTCTGCGTTCAGGTCCCAGGCTCCCGGTTCGATGTGCACACAAGCCCTTCTCGAGCTGCTTTGGATCCCTTTTCTGTAATTTCTGCTTTCCTAGAACCTGGGTGAAAGTTGGTGCTTCTGGAAGTGTTTAGCTCGGTTAGCACATAAAAGGACCATTTACTAACTTTCCCATAAAAGCAGTCGGCTTCATGCGGCCCTACAAGTGCACTCGGCAATAAAAACGGGTGACTCATTTGCTTTTTTTTTTTTTTTTTTTTTCCCCTCTGCTGGGCATCTCAGGCCATTATTGAAGCCACATTACCTTTTCCTCCTGAAATCGGTATGCGTCTCTGTCAGTTTGTTCAACTTGCAGGCACGGCGAACCTAGCAGGGGGAAAAGAACACTTGTTTATTCGGTTGTTTGATAGTCTGAAGCACAAACACAGCACTGAAGTGTTCTGCCCAGGCATTCATGATGGCACAAATGAAAGGCGGCATGATTTATAGATTGCTCTTAAAATATCAAAAGGAAAATTAATAGGAGCATTATAGCAGCAGACGGCAGTATAATGAGCACCATATAAGTGAATGAAGAAGTGAGGGCGATGGTTGTCCCTGCTGAATGTGAATGGCAGGAGGACAGGGCCAACCACAGGAGAGGCCGTGACGCCCCCGCCGCCGTGGGGAGTGGGTGCGTGACGGCAGAAGAGCCGTGACTGGGAGAGCCCCTTCCCTGCCAGGGAAAATTTAAAAGAAGCCACATTTTCCCAAATGATTGGATTTGTGGGAGATGCTCTAGAGGGACAGTCTCTGCCTTCGAGGAAGTGTCAGCTCCACTGTTGCCCACTTGAAGAAACCAGTCCAATGTTCGTAACACTGGCAGCTCCTACCACAGGCCACTTGTCTACACACTCCTTCTCATTTACCTGGCCAACGCCTTATTTTCAGAGCATTTAAGTGATAGGAATGGAAAACGTGACCTGTGGCCGCGAGGACCAGAATGACTAGGCATCGAAGGACAAGGAAAAGAAAATTGCTATCGGCCAGGATAATGGGTGGCGTTGGAAGGAGTCTGAAATGTGGTTACTTAGCATTTGACTTTCATGACCAAAGTGTTTTGAAAAGGATCTTAAAAGATGGAAATAATCATTTTTAATGTATGTGAACAGTCTCTTAGCATTTACTACACAGCATTTTAAGAACGTGTTTCTCTTTGACACTGATACCGCTGTATATCATCTTTTCCCAAAGCAGTCTGGTGTTTCTGACTTGACTGTAGTCACCCTCGTGTTCATTTTTAAATCACTGTCATGACAGGAGTGTTTACTCAGATATTAAGGAAGTTCAGAGCAAACATAAATTGGTATATAGAAGCTACTTCCAGAAACGCTTGTTAAAGCAAGTCTTTCTTGAAGTTAACGAATGGAAGAGAGACTATTTCTCGTCCTCTTTATGAACTCCAAGGGTTAGCTGATGTATGTTCCTACTATTTAGTGCAAAACACTAAATAGTGTACAAAACACTAGACACTCTTTTCCTGAAAAGAGAAAGATACTTGGATTAAAAACCTCAGGCAAGAGTTAAGAATGACGCTGATTTTGCTGTACAGGATAAAGCCACTACAAAGTTAATTTATTTAACAACTTCGAATTAACCCCAGTCTTACCAGAAAGCAGGTTTCGCAAGCAGTCAGCATAAATGTTAACGAAAGGAAGGTTTCGGCTGTGTTTTGTTTGGGTTGGTTTTGGTTGTGTTAAGGAAACCCTCCGTAAAGATGTCAGAATGCACACTGTTGTTCAGATCTCCCAGCTTTACACTGTTTGCTAAATATAATTATATGTCAACAGCAGAGTCCCTGTGCCTGCTCTCAGTGTCACAGACTGTTACTCTTTTTGACCCCGTATTTCCATTAAGTGAATTCTGTAATGACATAGTTTTCCTTCTTGTGCAATATGCATTACCCTGCTATGATGCAAATTGTTTCTTAACTGTTCTAGTCTATTGGAATAAATCAAGCCGTAAACTTTATGGCACGGCTTAAAGGACCTTGTTAGTACGGCAGCCCAGCTACGATCTAACGTTGAAACAGAGCTGCTCGTTCTTACTCTTTCCTGTGCCGCTGCGACACTACCACATTTTGTTTCTCTTCGGAAACCCTAGAAAGTAGCCACATAATTATGGCTTTGGGGCATTAGACTTTTATCATGATAGTTGCTAACGGAGCTAGAAAGCAAAATACTGCACGCTGTGCACACACCCTTCGAACACAATGCCTCTAAACACCAGTCAGCTCTAGTTAAAAACTCTTGTGTTCCCAGAGTGGCTAGACAAAGGAATTACTCAGATGTAAGGAGGGAGATGTGTGGTTCTGCACAGTTATTCATTGAGAACCATTTCGGTGGGGGGGGGGGGCGCGGGGGGCGACGTGCAAGGTGGCGCATTGTAGGGTTCTGATTTCCAGGAGACACATGACTGTATGTGAAACATCGCATCTTAAATAGTTTGCGTCTGACCAGAAATGTATCTTTCGTGGAAATCCATTCTCTTTTATCCTCTGAAACACCGCAGGCCTGTGTGACTGCATTTGCCACACTCGGGGGATCTGCTGGTATCAAGAAATGTCGTGAAGCTGGGTTTCATTTCTCTGGAGTTTTAAGAAGCCTTAATGTCTAACTCGGTTGTGTTGTCAGGTTGTCACACAGATCTCGTCAGTTAGCATTGGTTGGGGACCCACTCTGCATTAGGCACTGGGGTGAGCCAGCATGCATGATAGGGTCCTAACCTAGGTCTTGGGGATGGTAAGTAATCTTACTCAACATCAGCTGCAACTTCGCAGGGAAAACAAAATCTTCTCTACCGTGAGCTTCGTATCTGGTTTGTTTTTGTTTGCGCCTACCAAAGCACTGCCTTGTCAGAGTGGAAAAATTATAAAGCAAGAACTTCATTAAGAATGTTCCATTGCTGTTCCATCCTCCCACCCCACCCCCACTGCCTATGATAGCCTTATATCATCCTAGGTCATCAAATGCAGGTTTATAAACCTGAAAAGATTAATAATTCTGATTGTTTAAAGAAGTGAAAGTAGGAAAATGTTGATCAAGGAAACCACATTTGAACTTCAGTACAGGACTAAGTAACACATAGGTAGATTTCTAGCCAGATGTGATCAGCGGAGAAGGGTTGGGGGTAATTTATGAGGTAGCACTGCTCAATAGTGAAAATATGAAATTCAAACAGAAGGAAATGTTCACCACTGTCAGTAATCCAGGAAGAACAATTTAAGGTAACCGGAGCTTACCTTATACCTGCTAAGCAACAATGTATTTTTTAAAAAATAATGCTTGGGGCTGGGGAAGTTGAGTCTAAATTGATATTACCCCTTTGGAAATTAATACTATAATAAATCTTAAGATCCATAAAGATGTTTTTAGCCTTTGCTCCCAGAATTTCATTCTTAGAAATTTATCCTGAGGAGGTAAATCAACAGAAATAGGAAGATTAATGGATAAAAATGGTTGCTATATTATTCAAAGAGCCAAAGAAGGGGGGAAAAAGACAATCACAAAATGCCCAGCCTTAAGGGACTGATGCAGCCACAGAAGGCATCTTGTATACCTATAAAAATTACACCTGCAAAAGCTGACAAAATAATCAGATTTGTTATACACACAATATTTAAAAATATGATGCCACCCAGGAGAGGATAGGCAAACACCAAAAACCCACCTTAATTTAGGTTTATGGGTGATTTTTTTTTTTTAAGGTGTAGTCATCAGTACACTTAATTCTTCCCCCCAAAATATAGAGATCCTACCAGGGCTGGCTCCAGAGGCACAGTGTGAGAAGTTTGCATGCTCTGTCATTTCCATATTAAAATCCTGACCAATTTTTGAACCGCATCTTTACATTTCACTGGGGCTCTGCAAAGTACGCAGCCAGTCCTGGGTCTGGTCCCTGTAGAAACACAGAGAAGTGGGGCCATGAAAAAACTGAAAAACGATGGAGCACAACCAGGAAAATGCAATGGACTACAACTTTGAGACATTTCATTTTGCAACTAGCTTTTAGGAAGATGGGCACCATTTTTGAAAAGCTGTTTATCCTGACATCTACCCCTAGACACTCTGTACGCTGTGCTAATTTTGGAGTCAGTTGGTTTTCTGAAGGTTCACACCGTCAAGGGCAGTCCAGAGCATTCCTGTTTGTTTTTAAATGGTTCAAGTGGCCTTCGGGGTTTGCATACATCAATTATTTAGGAAATCAGCCATCCCAGTACCACCTCTTATTACTAATACTTGATAATGTCAATTAAAAAATCCTCCCTTCTGCAGCCGGTCCCAGCGATGGGACCATTTTAACTTGAATGGTTCCTTTCCATATCAAAAGGCTTGCCACAGAAAGTAATTTGTATTTGCAAAGGATCGGTTGTAAATATGATTTACGAACAACATTTCCCAATTGTTATCAGAGTGGTTTCGTGGGATCCCCCGCAGTCCCCTTCGGGTGAACCCTGCGCTGGGCCATAATGAGAAAGTTGGCAGATCCCGTCACAGGCTGCGGCGTCCTGGTGGCCGCTACCAGCCGGCCCTCTTGTTTTGCCTTGTTTACAGCTGACAGCGTTATTATTCTGATCGGGGCTCTGCTTTCTTATCATATTGTTGTGTTGGGCGAGCCTTTTCCTCTCCGTTTGTGTTTCCTGGCAGGGCTTTTCTTACCTTATTGACAGTTTGTAAAAATATGCATTAATTTGGAGTTTCAAGCATGTATCATGGTGTCTCTTTGCTGTGTTTGCTTGAAGTTGATTAATGATAGAACCTCGCTTGGGGTCGGTCTCTGGAGAGTTCTTTCACAGGTTCTGCATGTTAACTAGCAAAGCAGAACACACAGCAAGCCATGATTAGCCCAGCCTCCCGCGCTCAGTGGTCCCCACAAACCACCATTGTGTTACAGATTCTTATTTCAAGTAATGATTTGAAGACTCGGATTCCTCTCCACAGGATGCCACTGAGGGGCCTGTTATCTGGTACTCAAAGTGTGGTCCTCCTCAGACCAGCAGCATTGCCTGGGAGCTTGCTAGAGAGGCAGAGTCTTGGGCCCCACCCAGACCTGCGGGGTCCCATGCGGCTCTTTATTTAACAAGAGCCCAGGGTGTCTTGAGTGCTCAGGGTGGTGTAAGCACACCCCCTGGGGAAGAGAGGCTGCTTCTGGCCAGAGATCCTTCTAGAGCAGCACTGCCCAAAGGAACCTTCTGCCATGATGGAAATGTGTCATCTCTGGGCTGCCCCAGTGCAACAGAGAAACTCCGATTTTAAATTATGGGAGGTTTTAATTAGTTTTCATTTAAGGAGCTACACGTGGCTAGTGCCTGTCCTGGGGCACAGTACAGTCCTTGAGTGTGGCTTCTGTTGCCCAAAGCCCCCAACGTACCGTGGTTGGAAGGGGCTTCCGAGTGAACCTGTTTTCGTTTCTTCCAGGCATCCCGTGCACGTCAAAGAAGAACCCCTCGATCCAGAGGAAGCTGAAGGGCCTCTGTCCTTAGTGACAACAGCCAACCACAGTCCAGATTTTGACCACGACAGAGATTACGAAGACGAACCAGTAAATGAGGACATGGAGTGAACGTCTCTGGGCGGGGGCCAACCCCAAGAACGAAGATTGGGAAACAAAAAACAAAACAAAACAAAAAAACAAAACACGTCAAAAGTTAGCAGTGAAATCGTTCTCCATTTGTTGTACAGTCTGGAGGATTTTCACTACATTTTGACAACGCTGAAACGTGTTAACTCTTAGTGCCATCAAGAATCCCATTTGGGAGTATTTTTGATTTTTCTACTTTTTGTTGAAAAAAGGAATTTGTACTCTGTGCATTGGATGGACTTGTTTGGTACTTGGGATTTTCCTCTCTTAACAGTCAACATCAGTGTTGTAAATTTGCTAAACTGATTCACTTTTAGCAGCAGACTTTGAACTGCAGTCCTGCCAACGTTGGACCCTGAGGACACCCAACTGAGCATGTGCACCTAAGCTGCAGACCAAGCCTCTGCCCAGAATTTAAGGATTCCAATGGACGACCTATTTGCACAGTACTGCATGTTGATTATCACTGCCTTTACTCCTCTTTTTTTTTTTTTTTTGGTTCGTTTTTGTTCTCGTTTTGCTTCCAGTTGGGATGGGGAAGGCCTTTGTGTGTGTATTGGGGGGAGGGGGTTAAAAAGTAATTATCCCAAACTTTTTAATGTATTGCTTTTTTTTTTTTTTTTTTTTTCTACTATACCATTTTAAGTTCTGACCTCAGGCCTCCATTTGGGCCCACGGCCTCCTGGAGGCTTCAAGTTTTCTGTACCTTGTGATGAATGTTAAATAGGTGTTTTTATTATACAAAAGCTGAATGTCATTTCTCGTTTGTAGTTTTCTGTCACTCATTCCAGTTTCCTTCAGACATCACCACGTTTTCTCCACAAAGTCAGAGAACATTCCGTTTTGGTCTTTTTCAAAAAAAGGTCCCAAATGCTGCACTCTACACATGAAGGTCCTCTCACACAGACGTGAAGTCCTGCCAGAAAGAGAATGAATGACAGAAAAAAAAAAAAAAAGAAGAAGAAGAATAGAGACACCCTAGGAACAATGCAGATTCATTCCACGAAGCAGTATTGGAGGAGGGAAGGGGGTTGTTTCGGATTTGGTTTCGAGTTTTTTTGGGTTTTGGTTTTTGGTGGTGTCTTTTTTTTTTTTTTTTTTTTTTTTTTTCGTTACCATTTCCTTTAAAAAATTCCCCCACATTTCCCCCGCCCAAGGAAACCCCGGCAGCCCCCCCCCCCCCCCCCCCCCCCACCCCGCAGATCTCCTACTAGATGGTATGGCCATGGAAGGCTCTCCTTCGGGTGACCAGGTTGCCATGGGCCACAGGCTCGCTGAGGCTGAAACCTGCTTGGGTTGCTTTGTTTGCAAAACGGCCAAAAAAGCTGGCTTCCCTGGGCAACTCCACTGAAAGTGGTGGCAGCGCTGAATTTAACCAACAGTCCAGACCTGCTTGGTGGCATTAATCTGTTTGAATGCAAATTAGATTTCAGATTGAATTTGTTATGGAAGTTAATGAGGACTGAGTTCAGCAAATGCGAAAGTGTTCATTTCAAACGTGCAAATTTGGTACTGCGGTTCAGTTTGTTACGCAATATTATCACACCGAGCCAGCATCCAAAACTAACAGTAGACAACATCGAGGAGTTGGGGGCACATGGCGCCCCTGGCCATTTGGAGAAACATACATGGCACGCAGAACATGACAGTCCTCAGTACAACCTCAGTCCTTAGAACCCCTCAACGCCTCCACTCTGCACCCACTTTCCTGTCACTCATTTATTTATCTAGGACCGTAGCTTTTGTTTTGTTTTACTTTGAGAGCCTTTCGGAGCTTAATTTATATTCTTTGTACCTTTTTTTTTTTTTCCTAAAATTACCAAAGATATTACACAAAGGTAAATTATGTTCTCTGTTTTATGCTTTATCTGATGAAGCCAAATATCCTCTTATTGTTGATCAAAGGAGGCGAAAGAATTTAGAGGCAATTAATGAGTTCTAGGCTATTGCTAACCTGAGAGAGAGAACTGCTCCTTCATCGTAGAAAAAATTTAGAAGACCAAGTAGGTAATGGAACCAAAGTTGTTACTTTTTTTTTTTTTTTTTTTTTTTTTTTTTCCTGTTCTGTACCTCAACAGAGACCAAAACTCATAACGAGAGGTTACGGGGCTGCTGAAAGTATTACAGGAGCAAGGGAAGGAAGGGAGTCCCATCTCAGAAACACGAATGGACGCCACTGCAAATTAGGGAGTTATCAGTAAGGGAGACGGTCAAGATACAATGGAAAGAAAACAGAAAAGCTTCTACGATGCAACTCAATCACATAGTACCATTTCTAGAATACATTTTTTTGTTTGTTTTTCAGAAAGATTGTATGCCACTTTGATTTTAAGGACCATGCTAGGATCACTGCTTCACTTTTGCTCTGTCTGGGCATTGATCTTCTGGGTTTTGTTTTTGTTTTTTTTTTAATGTTTTCCTTTTTCCTTCTTTTTTTTCTAATTAGGCTTTGGGTCAGCATTTTTCATTTAAAAAAAGAAAAAGAAAGAAAGCAACACTCCCGTCCACTCATAAGCTTGGTACAAAAACTTCTTTGCCAGTTTCTTTTGAAGCTTCACTCTGCTTTCTGTATAAAGGGCAGTCTATGGTCACTCGAGATTTCTTTTTTTTTTTCTTTTTTTTTTTTTAAACTTTTCCAGGCAGCTTCATGATGTGCAGGCAGTAGCCAGACAGGGTCATGGGAAGGGGGCCCTGTGCTTCTAAACTGAGTGGTTGCTGGTTAGTTTGGTATTCAAAAGAGGATAAAAATCTGGTAGATTAGTTCATTCTCAGCATGTGTAGCTAGACATGAGTAAAGATAACAGCATGAGAAACTGTTAGTACGCATACCTCAGTTCAAACCTTTAGGGAATGATGAAAATTTTAAAAAAATACATTTCACTCAGTTGCACTTAGTCGTATGTCTTGCATGCTTAGTCTAAAGACTGTAGCAAAAAGAAAAAAAAAAGAAAAATTAGATTTTACATATCTTTGCAGGTATCCCAGCCCTGCAGAAGAACCAACTGAAAAAAAAAAAAAATTCTCAGGCTTTACAGCAAGCAAACTTCACTATGATTTTTACAATTCTGATTCTGTATCCCTTGGGGGGGGGGTGTTCCAGCGCTTCTTTACGATGGGGTTTATTACGTTGTACATATATTCCAATGTGTCTGTGTGAATCTTTGTCTTTTTTGGGGGAGGGCGGAGGGCGGTTCTTTTTTTAGATATTGTTCCTAAAAAGGAATAAATGCATACACCTGTTTTGTCAAAACACCTTTGCTTTTTGTGCAACTGCTTTATATTAATGATACTAAAAAAAATAGCTTTGGAAAAAAAACTACTGTATGTAATGGGATTGCAGAATATGCTGCACATGTATTTTATTTAGTTATCCTTGCTTTAAGAATATTGGATGACATTTCCTGACATGTGGGAGGGAGAAATTCCCTAACCTTTTTTTTCCCCTTTGGCTTTTAAATTGTAACATAGTTGACAGGTTTTGTTTTGTTTTGTTTTTTTCTGTTCTCATTGATCAGAGCATTTTGTACAGATTTGTGTGTGTGTGTGTGTGTGTGTGTGCGCGCGCGTGCGTGTGTGTGTGTTAATCTGTTTTTTGATACATTCCTATCCCTTGTGTTTATTCTACCACTGCCTTCCTGGCTATCTTAAACCAGTTCATACATTTGAAAAGAGAAAAAAAAATGCTGTTTTAAAAAAATGTTTTCTCCTGCTGCAGTAAATATTTTGCATGATGAAATGCCAGGGTCACACTTTCAAAGTTTATCAGTGAAGTAGTGATTGATTAATAATGGGGAGTTGTCAAAGCTATTGAACTTTTTGTATTAAAAAAAAGGAAAACTTTACAAGGTGCCAAGATGTAAAGACAATTTGTTACTTTTTTTTTCCTTTTTCCAAGAAAAGCGTATATTAGGGAGGGAGTCCCTTGTATCAGGCAAATGCACTGTCAGGAATGAGAATCCATCCTCCTTGTCCCTAGAGTCTGTCCTTGTAAGAGAGTGACGCTGCCCGCAGCGAACCAGCCGCAAGATGAAGCGTCAAGGTTACTGTACGTGCCCAGTGACCACCAGCCTCACCACCTGGGGACAGCTCTGACACTAGTCCCTGCATTCCGTCAGACCCAGTCAAGAAGACCTGGGATTCTGCACCCACGATCTGATGGATGTAAATCACTAGCTATTTTATCATGAAAAAAAAAAAATTAAAAAAAATATTTCCTCTCCTTTCCACATTCCAGCTGAGCTCTGTTTCCAAGGGTACAAAGAACACGCTCATAAGGATTTTGAATTTTGGGGCGGGGGTACCTGTTGGTTCACAGGATCCCGTCTTGATATTTTGGATGTTTTTGAATGTCGGTTTCGCTTTTTTATCCTGAGAATGAGACTTAACGATTCTAAAGGCATTTTATGGGCCCAGTTTGGTTCGCACGATCTCTGCTACCCAGAAGCCTCGAGGAAGAGGGTCCAGTCCGGATTGTGCACACGGTGCTTTGTGGATATGTGCTGCCAGGAACGAGAATTTTTTCTGTTTCGTTTTGTTTTGATAAGGCATAAAAGAAACTCATTCCTTGACATCAACTGTAATTCCATCATTCCGTGTCTGTGGATACAGACAATAAAAAAAAAAAATGTTGTGTAGTCAGTACTCATTACTGACATGATGGCATTCTCAAATGCAATAAACATGCTGGTTGTTCACACTGGTAGTAAAAAGTCGCGACAGCCTAAGTTTCTTTCCCTCTTCTGACCTGCTGATCTTGTATGTTAGGCATATGCCTTCTGTGTATCACCAGCTGCTTCCAACACAGAATTAAAATCAATCTTAACTAAAAGCTTTCATCATCACAGAGGGCTGAAGCTCTCATCCTCAGGATTTCAAAGTGCTACGTCTCCACTTAGGGAGCTGGAAAACACTGAAAAGATAGAGGCTACCTTTTTCTCCCAAGGAAGCACACCCTTATTTCTCTTCATCAAATTTTATACAGAAAAAAAAAAAAAAAACCAAAATGTTTAATAACTAGCATTAAGAGCAAACTAAAATTTCAGAGGAAAGCAATTTCATGAATAATTCATTAAAATTTCACATCTGCAAGATTAGTCATCCAAATAAAATGCTAATGTCAAAAACAGGCACCGTCTATAATATTCTCATCAAGAAATCTTTTTGCATATAATGATAAATGCTTAGATTAGAACAAATGATTTTATAAAAATATTCTATCAAAAGTATGCTAGATAACCGCATCCAGTATAGAAAACAGTGAAGCTTCACGAACTAAATATTCCAGAAAAACCATCTTGATTTCCAGATTTGTTTCATCGCTTACCTTGATAAAAGGAAAAACAAAAACAAAAAACCTGCCATTTGTCTTTATTACTATTATGTCGCATATATCCTGAGGATTGACGAGTTTGGGCATCATCTTTCAGTAAAAATTAAACTGGTATATTGAAAGCAGCACTGGAAGTGTCCAAACCGGGGTAACATAAAAACCGATGCGTCTGTAATTCAGAGTGTAATCCAAGCCAAAAGATGACTTGAAAATGAACCGAGCTGCCGCCATTCGGCCAAGCACCGGCTGCTGGTGAGGGGCACGTAAGCGTGCTTTCCCAGCATTGTTTTGAGAAACCCATCTTAGGAAAAAAAAAATTTTTTAATACAGGTTTTGCTATTAAGTAGCAAAGTAGTGCCCTCTTTTCATTAACAGTTACGCCACAGTCTAGAAGCCCTCTAGTGTGATAATTAATAAAACATTTGAACCCTTAATTCTCATCTAGCTACTAAGAATATAATATTAGGGTTAATTGAAATTCCTTTAAATGCCAGGCTTAAACATAAATACTGCTTACAGCATATGCAGTTGGTAAAATTAAATATGTACACATATTTGAATAAGCTGAAGGACCCAGAGCAAGTCTGCCGGTGCATTAGGGAAGATGTTTCTGTGTAGTTGGTGTAT